CAACCGAGTCTCCCTGGTTTACCGTAGAGCATAATTATTCTATAAAGAAAAAATCTACACTTTCTGATGCCTTACATTTAATTATGCACTAATTTAAATACATTATAATAATTTTGTATAATTATACATTTTTCATTTACATTTCAAATTATTATTTTATAAGACCGAATTAATATAAAATTTCATAATTTGTTTTCATTTAAGCAATTGTGAAAAGGTTTTAGCTGTGAAATTAAATTGCAAGAACTAAATACTGATATTAAACATAAATTATTATTGTATAACAATGCAAAGAAACCATAGCAGAGAGTTGTTTAATATTAATTTTATTCAAAAGAAATTTGATAAATATTATTAAAAGTCTATAACATTATGTTTCTATGGCTGCTTTATCATCTCTTCTGATCATATGTATTATGTGAATTATTAAAGAACCATTGGCGCTCTTTCCCATTCTCAATTGAGTCGATCATTCAAATGCAAGTTAAAAAAGCGACGACTTCTCGACTTCCAATTCTGACTGAGAGACGCACAAAGATGCCTTCCCCAGCGGATATCAAATTCATCTCTCATCTCCTCCTTTTGGATATATACATGTCCGTCCGTCTCTTCCGAGCAAAAATTTTGCATGAATTTTTTATTCATGAGAAGGAAAGACGACAGAGAGGCATCATTAGCGACGATATTGAATTCGCCGAACCGACGACGTCCTCTCTGCCCGGAATATGTAAAATTAAAGCGACCGCTGCTGCAGGCTAATCTGATTTGGATGCTGCTCGGCGCGGGGTAAAAATAATGTGGAAGGGCTACTGAGGCGCGAGCCGTAATTCTCGGGACTCGGGCAAAAAATATGGCATGGGATTAGCTTGATGAGCAAAAGCTAGACTAGGAGGAAGAGCGCGTCACTCTTATCTGCAAAACTTTGTTAGCTCTGAAATTTTATTTAAAAAATGAGCACATCATTAATGAAGACTTTAACTTAATGAGGCAAGCTCAAATTTCATGCGTTTCAATTTTTTTGGCGTTGGAATAATCATGATAAATTGTTGTCCCTCAATAGAGCATTTTTATAGAGTAAAAATTATAATTTGCAAATAAGAAAAAGTTCAAGAAGATAAGAAAAAAATTCTGCATATTCCATAGTGACAAAATTGTTAAGAAACCTCAATTAAAATTTTTCGTGAAAAATTAAAGAAGTTATTTTTCGGCCTCACATATTTTTTATCAGAATGACATTAAAGTAGATATTGTTAAATTATAAGTAACTTTAATCTTTCAATTTTCCTTATTAAAGGTGTTATATTGAGCTTTATTAAATATTTCGTTTTCAGCATTTTTTTCTGGCAAATAAAGCTAAAAAGTTGATCACATGATTTCCAATCTCTGCTACAAATCACTTATCACTTAATTATGAATGGAATGTCATTTTGATGCAGTGCAAAAACATCTGGCCTTGGACGCCATTTGCCAACCGATTACTAATTGATCTAATTTGGAAGCAATTAATTACCGGACGGTCGGTTTGATGCACCATGAGTAATAATCAAACGGGGGTCGCTTGCATGCTGGCCTAATTAGGGTTCATGTGGGGGCGACAGAAGCCTTGGCATGCATTTCCCGATCCTCTTGCAGGTGCAAACCACGGCCTTGCACGCGCTCTCATCTCCATATAATCTGCCCTCGTGTGCCCCATAGGCCGGTGCCAAATTCCAAAGGTGTGCCCTCTGAGTCTTGCATGACTGAAAATGAGAGCCATTTAATGAAAAGCCAATTCGAATTTGCATGCCGATGAGCGGACCGGCCCTTTTGCCGGCGTGGAAAATAAATTTGCACCGTGGCACGCGCAGGGAATTTAGATTTATCGGCCTTTAGGAAAAAATGAAAAAAAAAGAGGCAGAGAGCTGCTGTGCCCGCGCTTAACGTGTTTTCATAAATTTTCGTTAGGCTGGTCATGACTTGATTTGTAATTGCGATTGAAATCACGCAAGTTGTAAAATGGGCTATGTATGGAAAAAGTATGGATTATTTTCAAATTTAACTGTTATAATGTAAAATTTTATGAGTTTTCTCTATAACTTTTGATAATTCCTTTTTTTGTAAAATATTTTTTGAAAGTAAAATTTTTGCATTGTAAAATGATTGCAGGTTTTATTCTTGCAAATAGTTTTAGTGTATATATAAAGCCATATTATAAATTTGAATTTCACAGCATAAATTGTGTGAAAGAACTCTTAATTTATTATTATAATTATTTATTAATTTTTGAAATATTTGTATTGTTTTTGTCAATTATTTTACTGAAATCAAAAAACGTTATATTTAATATTAATTATATTTTTATAGAAATACAACAGTTTTATTATTTAATTTTAATTATTGGATTGCTAATTTTGTAATTAAAAATTTACATATTTATCAGCTTTTGTATAATAATAAGTGTTCTGTGTATTATGTACATGAATTTAAAATTACGAAATTAATAGTTTACCATTTCTTTTTGCTACGCTCTCTATTAATGAACATTAGCTGAATATTTTATTCAAATAAATCCAATATATTATTTGCAATAAAGTAATGTCATGCGGCAAACACCTCTTTCTATAGCATGCGCCTCACGTGAGTTCTAGTTAAGTCTGTCCGTCTGTCTTTCTGTCTTAAGTGCACAACAGCTTTTGCAAAACTGCAACAATAGATAGATTGATACAGTCCGCGTGTTTTGTTTTCTCGCCTGCCTGTCTAGATGAACATAATGTCTGTTTATAAACATATAACGTACACGTGAAAGCAGACAAGCGGCGGCACGACCGAAATAGCCAAAAACAAAACGCGAACAAAATATTGATTAGCGTGTTTTCGCTTCATTTGAATCCATACTGTTCGTGTCATCGACCATTATTCAAATACGAGAGGAGTTGATTTGATTTCGGTGGTGGGGTATTTGTGTATTGATACAGCCGGCTGAATATTGCGTGTCGGGAAAATTTGTTGTAGAAACGTTGGCAAAAAGGAGCAGTGTTGACAAATTGGGTTGGCGTTCGGGCAACTTCAGAAGTAAGCAATTCAAGGGACACTAAAACATCACAAATTAATTTGATGGTCACCAGAATTACTTTTGACATTTGATAATACAATACGCCATCAAAGATTAATTAATCTATGCAAAAACTACCATTATATCTTTAATGTGCAATTTAATTAGCGCCAACTTCAAAGAATAACAAGAACTGATATTTTTTGCTCATATTTTAATTTTTATCAATTATTGAAAATATAATTGAAAAGCATTGCATAATATGTTAAAAAATCGTTTTGATATGCTGAAAAAAAGTTAATAATTTTTTCCAACAATTTCGACAAACAAACTACAACTTTTTCATAAAATATACTAAGAAAACTATAAAGTAAATTTTATTTCTCAAGCGTTATCAAGAATAATTTAATGCTCAGCATAAATAATCATGCATCATAATTTTTGCATGAGTAAAAATAAATATCAGTTGATAAACTGCAAAGAAAAACACATTTAATTAAGACGAGTTAGGTAATTTTTCACCCTTTACGTTAGATAAAAAAAGGCAGTGTGTATGTAATCTTCTTCTATGTTCTTGCGTTAAATTATAAAAAACAGACGAAGCGTGCTTGGCGATAATGAAGCTGCCGTCGGGGTGCAAAGAGCAATGTCAGCAATGAGGAAATTGCTACTGTGTTACATCTCAGCCAGTCCGGACGACGACGTAATAACAATCGCGTGTTTTGATCATTAAGTACGATATCAGGTGAAAATGTCGATGATTGCTCGTCGCAAAGACAATTTGTTCAATATTTTGGCAAAAGTGTGTCAAACACAGAGAACAGATGTGTCTGCTGGGGTATCATTATTAGCTGCGAGAGATGATGCTGACATTGTTGAAAGCCGAGATAAAATTACACGCTGTGATCATCATTAGCGGAGTACGTTAGCATTGATTGCAGTGATGCAATAAACGGTATCAAATAATAAGCGTAGAGAAAAATATTTCAGATTTATAAAAGAAATTTTTCATATCTCGTGAACAATCTATTATTTTTTATTGTTGCTTATTTGTCCTATTGTTACATTAAATTTATTGAGTAAAAAAATGATTTGTTGGAAAAAACGGCATCACCAATAGCAAGAATTTTGCTGAAATTTCCGAGGTAAAAAAGACCATCCATTGCATTTAGCCTTGGTTGACTAAGTTTTTGTTCTTATCATCACTTATCACAAATTTTTCTATAGGTAGTCTTTGCAGAGGGTGATTTTTGGTCCTCTGAATTGTGGGCCAAAAAACTATTAAATTATTTCTTTTAAAAAAATTGGCTAGATTTACATAAATATGATGCACTTAATAGTAATTAGACCGACCTTATGAAGTACTTGGTGCTCTAATTCCTCTCGTCATTATTACAAGGAGAGAATTCACGGCATAGTAAGAGCGAAGAAGTTAACGTCGCTAATACCATAAAATTTACAACCGCACGCGACATTATTATTTCCCTGCGTTCCACTTTTGCCTCATACCCTTAATCAGGGGGGCATCATAATATAGCCGGGGCACGTGACGTCACACACCTGCCCTCCGCACAAGTCCAAAGCAAGAATCTCTGCATTGAGGCACCGCACACTTGCTTTTACGTGACCCGCCGGTCGTGATTCAGGTCACTTGATTTTCTCGCCCCCAGATAAGGCATGTGCGGTTTATTTATAATACATGCGGCCCGACGCTGTAAAAGAAAGAAGAAACGCCCATGTTTATCTATTTTGTTCCGACCTGCCTTTTTCCAAAATTATTATTTTTCCTTCCCACGTTGTTTGATTTTTCGCGCACGTCTGTATGCGGATATCGAATCACTTTGGCCCAAACTTTTGTTTTCCCAGCACTTCGGCGCGCACGTTCTTCGCCAAATTCAATAATCCCCGACTGAACTGGTGAATGAGATTCGCTCTATATAAATAATTGGATTGGTATTTTGTGTTGCAGAAATGGAAGTGGTGCCATATGGGAAAAACTTTCGCTTGGTTCCAGAAGACGAGCTGCCCGAACTCTTGGATTATTTATCGCAACATTTACCGCAATCACTCAAAGTAAGTCACGCATTTCAATTGTTATTGGGTGCACTCGTGAGTGCTGCAAACGGAAATCAAATGGAGATTTATGCAAACGGGCTGTCGAGACTAGGACAAAGTTTAGTTTGTTGCGTGTGACGTGACCATTTAGCGACGGGGCTCGAAATCGATTTCCACCCTTATTGGAATTTAGTTCACCCCGTCAGAGCAGCTTCCACCATCGCTCATTTCCAGTTACGGGAACCATTTCGACACTTCGAAAGGACCTAGATATGAGAGTTAACGTGATTAATGGGAAAAGTTATTTTGGTCGTAAGCATAATATTTAGTGATAATAAATTTTCATATTTATGTAGCTGAATAATTATGCAAATGAAATTTGATTCAATATCTACTTATAATTTGGCTCAATTCACTCAATAATTTATAAATAGTAAAATTTTTGTAAAATTTGTTCAATAAACCAGTTCATATATGAGGACTTATTGTAAAACAAAACTTACATTATCATCAATCATCAATACTGATTTATCAAATTAAAAAAACTCTACCAATAAGATTTCTGTATATTTTCTCTACGATCGATAAAATAATTAATTTTTTAATTTTTGTGTGGAGATAAATAGTGGATTGTCCAGACTGATTTCTTCAAAATCTCGTGAAAATAAGTTATGCTTTACAAGTAGTCTTCACTATAGGTTAAAAAATTTGGAAATCACTTGACGATTGAAAGATGCTCTGTTTTTTTTTTTTTTTTTTTTTTATTAAAGCAAACTAAGGATTTAAAATTTAAGATAACGTGTTGGCACTAAAAAAGATATTTATGATTCCCTGAATAATATATCTAATTTATTCAATTCGTGAGAATAGTTAGCTTTAAAACTCTTAATTACAAATTGTTTTTGATGTAGAAGTCAAAACGCTATTAGGTTACCAGCAACTAGTTCAATGAATTTTGTAATGTTTAATACATTATTTTAAATCCCACGGTATAACTCTCTATGCTCGCTTCGTTCATGGATCTCACATAATATGTTTCTTTTAATGCAACTTTGAAAAATACATAAATGTCCTTATTTGCTTCTTTATTTAGAGGTATAAAGATATAATTATTACCAGAATTTCCCGTTTCAGGATTAATTCATGATATTCTGACTTTAAATCCAACTTTAAAGTCATTGAGACAATCTTCAGTAAATTGAAATTAATTAAAAGGAAAGTTTTTTAACTTTGATGAAGTTACTATAATTTGTTTCTCATTAATTTTTTTAAATTATCCAACTTTCACAGAGAGAATACATAAACTTTATTAAAAATGATATCCATGAATTGCGGTGTTTTCTCTTCATTTGCATTAGGTTATGCCTGGGCGAGGTTTAAAAGCCCACGCTCTAATTTCTTCACAAACAAACCCTTTTGCTATGGTGCTATGCGCAGAGTTCAAATGAGGCTGCTTTTTTAGGCATGTACTTGCCATACACTTTATACATACACTGGCCAGCTCTGGGTGATTTCCCGCGTAGATTAGCCTGCCGAAAATTGTGCAGTGCCGCAGTCTCGGGGCTGATTTTACATAAGGCCCTGTCGTGCCGCGCTCGAGTTTTCTCTTTTCCTCCTCCGTGCAGACAAATGCGATAAAAACAGGCCGCGGAGAAAGAGCTCCGTAATAATGGTATTTGTCGCACAATGGCCGGAAGGAGAGAGGTGGCCACTCGGTTTGAGGTGTTCGTCAGCCACCGGGCCAAACACACACACTTTCCACCAAACCAACTGAAAGGGACTAGACAATGCTTCTAACTCGCGTCGAATTACATCAGAGGTCTGTGTGGCCCCGGGAAAGTGACCAGGACGATTCTTTTCGCTTTTGTTGACGATAGTTAACATGATAGACACGTTCCCATGTTGGAGAGTTAAAGAAATAGTGTAAAAAAACCTCCCTTAAAATTCTGGTAGATAAAATTAAGATATTTCCATTATTTCCTATAGTTTCAAATCAAACAAAATTTTAAATATTTAAGATCAAAAATGATTTTTTTTTAAACTTTTCAAGTTTTTCAACTATTTTTTAACCATGTATTTTTTTTATTTGCATATTATTTATTTGATTAATATTCAGAAGAGGTTTAATTTGAAGAAAATTACAGCGTCTCAAGTGGATGGTAAAAGACTATTTTAAAAATGGTTAATTTATCATCGTTGATTCTCCGCAAGATTCATTCACGTTTTTTAACCGTTGCAATAAAGAATCAGTTGGTTTTGGATTGTTTATTTTGTGAAGAAATTACACGTTTGAGGGTGAGTTTGAAGCAATTTAAATTTTTATTTACAGGTTTTTGGTTTTATAGAAAATTATCAAGTCGAACAAATACACCCCAAGAAATCCACCACCATCATTTTTATTTGCCTTTATGGTTGTAGATGATTGAATAGTTGGTTTGTATTCTTCGTTGCTCTTTTTTTTTAACAAATCTAATGAGACTTTAATTTATAATATGATACTCTGTTATGTACAATCGCAAGAAAAAAAAAGAAGTTATGTTAAAGATCAATCACATTTACAGTAGGGTGTAGGACGTAGTTATGTAAATATTAAGTTTGGCAAAAAAGTAGTATTAAATTTCACAAACTGTTTGTAATAATAAATATTTGCTATTATTTAAATAATTATTTATGTTTTATATTAGTAATATGATATAATTTATAATTTATGTAAAAACGTAAAACTATTTATCAAAAATTCTTAAAAACTTTGTCTCAAAATAATTAATTTTAAATTTTATCTTTTAAACATAACTTGTATGCTTTTATTATAAACTTTCAACAAAACAATTTTCCTTCCATGTACACCAGAACCTTTAACCTTTAGCATGTTTTGCGATTGAAATTTAAGATCCCTCTTAATATAAATAAAACACCGTGTGAACTTTTTGAGAACAAAACAAACCATCTCTTGAATCTGCGCGTCCTCACCCTGAGCGCTGCGGATCCGCATCGCGGCAGACGCGAGCAAAGTTGATATTTTGTATGTGGTGCTGTCGATTTCAATTTCAAGCGTTCCGCAGCACACACGTGAGCCGTTTTTGAAACCGTTCTCCACTCAAGGCCGCGGCGGGAAGGACGCCGATGCGGTGTTCCGCATTGGAGTCGGTCGGTCGGGGCTTGGCGTGTTTTCAGAGCTGCAAAGGTCACACTCCACATTTGCTCGCTCGCACATTTTGTGCCCAACGTTCGCCGTCTTGCGACTGCCGCAATGTGCATGCAGATGTTTGCCCCGCTTGTTTATTTCCGTCCGAATAGGAAACTCTTGAGTTGATCGATTAATGGACGCGAAGAAAAGTGGTGTGCGAGAAATTATGCCATTTGGGGCGGCCGCCACTCCTAAAGCCATTTGTCTCTCGCGTGGTCTGCGTGCGACTGATTTAAGGCGTTCTACTTATGCCATCATACTTATATTTCACATTTACGCCAGGGAAAGATTTTTAAATCAGTCAAAGTGCTTATATCATTCCAAATTGAAGTTCCCTTATTTTAAGAATCTATGTTTGAAATAACTTTTCCAAAAGAACAAAAAATATATTATATTCCATCATTTTTGCATAATTTTTGACAGGATAGAAATTTCAAAATTAAATGAAAATAGCATAAAGAATAAATGTTCCAATTACATTTAATAGCAGATTAAAAAAAAATGTAGTACATTTAAAATATATTTAAAAGTATTTCATTACCTCCAAGTCCCTTCTTATGGCTATTATAAATAACAAAAAATTAAAATATATTTAAAGGAATAATAATTTAACTAATGTTATAAAATAGTAGAAAAATATTTTTTTGCATTTTTTTAAGTTTAGAAATATTTAATTCAAATAAAAAATATTTTTTCATTAGAATTAATTTGCTTCATTTTTTTTACAAAATTGTAACTATTATTTGAAACATAAAAGAAAAATGTAACTATTTAATATATATTATTAATTTGTCCCTGCAAATAACAGTTTAATCTCAAAATCACTTTTCATTAAATTGTTGAATCATTTTGTATAATTAAATATTGAAAATGATGTTTTATTTGTGTTATATTTCATTTTACAATGGTGATATGTTATCATCATATGACAAATTTAATGTTTGTGAAAATTAAAAGCAACCTGCGCAGCGTAGGTGTCATACCGGTTGCATACTCACGATATCAGCTCCGTTTCCAGAGCTGCTGCTCGAGGGCAACGAAATTCGTCTGATCAACCATCCAAATTTTACGGCGAACGTGCCTAAAATATGACATTTTATAAGATACGAGTATACAAACCCCATCCAATAAAGTTTAAACTGCAAAACAACGCGAGTCGGATAACCTTTAAGCACCGCCAGACGCAATAAATAAATTCCCACAACGGCCCAAATAAAAAGCGCCGAGCGAAGCAAAATCGAACACACGGAAAACTTTCGTTCCTGCGCGCCGTAACAATAACTTTCGGCGTCGTTTCATGCGAAAAACTAATTTCGCCAAATATCGATAAAGTAAAGGAAATCTTTGAGAGAGAGAGACTCGAACTTGAAAATTGGTCTTCTTGGGTGCAACGGAGAATGCTATTATAAGACTGTGCACTCACTCACGCGAACGACCTTTTGCCGGGCTTATAGAATTAAAGACGCTGCGAATTAACGACGAGGCGGCGGTCGGCAACTGGTGCAAACATTCGTGTACGCAGAAATAAAAAAAAGCTGTTTGGCACTGCCAGGGCTTCCTTTTCATACACACCGTGTCGCGGCGAATAAAGTTCCCTCCTGCACCGCCACCGGACGTGTTGTTTCGATCTTTTTGTCGCACGTGAGTTTGCTGATGAAAAATGAGCCGGATTTGTAAATAGAATTTCACTCTCTGAGCGCTTCTGGAAAAGGGATTACTCACGAGAGAAGGGGAAACTTTTTTTGCTGAGATTTACGACACCTTTTGTAATCAAATACTCATTTTTCAAAATGTTAAAAGCACCAAAATTTTTTTAATTTTATCCCGTTGA